GAGCGGCCAGAGTCATCACCTAAATGTGTTTCTCCCACCGTGGCCATGCCAAAGAGTATCCGTGCTGTTTTAATCGTGTCAGTAATTATAGCCTACAGTTTTTTCTTTCAGAAGTAAGCTGGATTGCATATTTTGCGGCGTCTATGGAACTTTATAAACTTCGGTTTGTCTTTAATCGCTTAGCAACGTATACATGTTACTTGTTCATGCATTGCAGGTATTCAAATGTGGGCGTCAAGTATTCATTTAAAGGATGCCCGAGAAGTTCCTTGGTTGTGCACTCTTGTGTATGATCTGGCCACAGATGAGTCAAGGCAGGTTTTGTATAACTGGAAGGAGTGCCCTCAACGTCTTCATATAAAGAAAAGGAATAAAAAAATGACACTCTAGGTAGTTTTTTTTGTGTGTGTGTGTGTTTGGCTATTTGATTTATTTATACTCTGTAAATCCTTTTTTCCTCTCCCTAGTACGCTACGGGAAAACATCTGAGGGTAATATAAGGCCTATCTTAGGTGAAGAAATGCGACGCAATATCAAGGCAGAAATATTCTGCACATTCTGCATTAAGGTATATGTTTGGCTTCTTGTCGGCATTGCAAAAATGACACAAAATACATAAAGTATACTTATTTAATGGGCACTTCGTTTCTTTTACACCAGAAAGGCTGTCAAGGGAACACCAATATCAAAATAAAATATATCGAATCCGCAAAAATTATTGCACTGTCGTTTATTCTTGTTATAGAGAAAAACACTTGCCGTAAAGGGGTACAGAAACGAAAGTCAAAATATACGGAAACCTTTCCGAAATGGGTGAACTATCGCCTATGATATCCGTAAATGACAATCGCACGTTCGTATTTTCAGCGGGTGGCCATATTTTTCGTTTCAAGGGTCCAGTTCCAGCGAGCGCTTCCGAATTGGCCATCAAGGCGTGCGATGCGTCGAGGGCGCTCAACCGCAATCGTGACGTCAGTCTCCTCAGCACAGCCAAAGGATGGCGAGATTACGAGCGCCACCACGCGGTGGCTTTCGCGTGTTACAATCTCGCGTCTCGGCGTGGCGGAGTACTGCACAGCTGCACAATGACCGTCGTGACGTATTCATCTCCGCCCTTGTAGTCCGCGGTGCGTTCCGCCATGATCTTTGAACTCGAGAGCGACGAGGATTTCGACCACCAAGGGCACCCGGAAGATGTCAGCGAGGAGGAGTAGTCACCCTCGTACATGTCGACTGACAGGCGATTCGGGATAGAACCGTACGAACCATTCGACAGACCGACCATCCGCCCGACAAAATGTGAAGTGGTCGGGGTCAAGGAGAAATACCTCGCATTTAATAATGACTGGTCAACTTATGCGGAATTAGGTGTTTCATTAACAGCGTGTTCACTTACCAGTTTGCTTCGCTTTTCGTGCGTTTCGCTAAACCCTTTTGCTTTTCTTTTCTTGGAAAAAATATTCGACACAACCCCTAGCAGCAACCGAATATTCTAAGTAGGAAGCCCCAGAATCCTGAGCACAATGGGTCGCATAATACAGTTCTCATCGCGAAAATGGTCACCGTACAAGCGATCGGTATTCTCCGGCGCCCACATGAAAGACGACGAACGCTTTTATAGCATTATTTATTGTCTTGTCCCCCTTTATCTGTGACAATATCAGGACCCCGCCTCCGCCGGCTTTTCTCCGTCCCTAAAAGTTTCGATTTCGTTGGATCAATTTTGATTTAACAGTTAATATATTCAGAGTGAATGAGCTGGGCTGCATCCAGTTTCATTGCACTGACATTTAACAACATAACACCGGTTCAATTCTTTAAAAAAACATTGTCGATTGACGTCATGGAAAAAGACTCAATAAAGTGCCTTGAAAGAGCATATCATGAAGCTGCTGTGGATATAGAAAACAACTTCTGAAGTGATCCGATATGACAGGTGTGGTCGGTTAAACGCAGCACAGCTGAACATTAATGGAGCACAGATTACAATTACCGAAATTCAGCGGAAGCAGTTGCTAAAGCAGGGTTCGTGATCCGCTTCCGGCTCGAAATATCGCCGGACGCTGTGAACTTTCACCTTATGTCGTTCTATGTGCGGAGGCAATGCATTCCAGCTCGGTCAAGTTATTTTACGTTGCGATTGCCCGCGTCCGCCGGAGTGATAGGAAACATAAATGGCCATCGGACTGCACTCGATTTAAATACATGCCCGTCTTCGTTCGGAGTTAAGTGGAGCCGACGACCAGGATGTCGACCCGTCGGCGTCCAAACTGACCCCAATTGGTGCCGCCGGGACGACTCTGAAAGCAAACAATTTGGAGTACGGTTGAATATATTGACATCGCGCATCGAGATAATTCAGATACATTAGCGCTAATCAGTTTGAAGCGCCCAAGTGTAATATTGACGCTTATAAGTTTCCTTTTTTTCTCTAGAACTGTAAAATACTGAAATAATCTCCCACAAAATATTTTGTCATTGGACTGTTTAGATGAATTTGAGAGCGCCCTTCTGAATATGTGTGATTTGGAATGATAAATAGTAGTTATAATATTTTTGATAACTATTAGATTTCGAGTGCTGCGAATTCATTTTGTTCAGTGCTAGATAATATGTTGAATGTTTGTGCTATTTCAGCCCCTTAATTTTAAGTAGATGTCGCTGAATGTGTACTGTATTGTAGTCCTTACCTTGTATGTTTGACTGTTCTTTTATACCTCACAAATAAAAAAGTGAACCAAATACGTCACCGGTCCTTATGACTGGTTCTCTCTTCAATGGAGCCCCTCGCCATACGTCAGCGTTTCCCCGACACCAACACCGACCCATTTAACTAAGTGCCTGCGTGTCAACAAGCGGCAAAATTGGCGGACCTAGCTCATCAACATGGCGGTACCCTGGATACAGGAGCCTGAAAGGCGTTGTGCCGGACATCTGTATCGTTAAATTCGACTATTAGAAATAATTGTACGTAATATTATTTTGTATTCATCTGCTTCCATGCACCCTTTCCATGTAACAGACGGGGCATTCCATGCCAAGCGATCCAGACCTGAAATCGACGCTTACGGATTCAGTCTAAAGAAGTGTATGTGTTATTGGTGATATAAAAGTACATATCCCAAGATAATTTTGCAATGACCTTTTTTTTAATATAATTTTAATAAAAAAAAGTGACGACACTTTATGTTTTGTGGAAAACAACCCACAAGAGGTAAAATACAATAAAAAAAGTTATATTATCGCCAACAAGAGGCGAAGGAACGAGAGCAATCGCTGTAGTACGGCCGCGCTAAGGGTGGAATGGTGCTGAGGAAGGAGGTGCAACATGGTTAATTCTCATAGCCGTCGTGGTTAGCGTCGTGGATAGCACTAACGGCCACCACCAGTGCTCGGTGATCCGTGAAGTAATCCGATAAGCGCGGTAGAATTTTCTCAAATCATCCAACATTACGCGTAGCAACTGGATACAGCCAAAGTGGAATTTCACACAACGCGAGTAATGTTTGAAAACAAGTCTTTCAAGCAGACGACACGGAAGACACTTCTTTCGTCGCATCGTTACTGGCGGGATGTTGGGGTGGCCGACGGGGGAAAACCCGACTTTCCTTGTCTCGCGCCCAGAAAGGAATAAGGGTTTTTCCGCAGCGGCGACGACAGGAGACGGAGTCGAAAAATCTGCGAAGGGTCTCCCGTAAAGCTGTCTATTTAATATCTCTTTAAAAAGGTTTGAAATCAGGCTGCAAAATGAACCCTGTTTCTGGTTGGTTCACAAGTTCTTATGCAATATTTAATGTGTTTTTTACGCATTTCCAAGTGCTTTGAGGGTGCAGACGCGTTAAAAATATCCTAAAAAGCTGATATTCGCCATTTCTTTTAAAAAATGCAGCTACCATATAGCAATACTTAAAACATGTGTGTTAGTGTTAAGTTAAACAAATTATGCTAAACATGTATAATGTTGATGGGCGGGGTAGTTGCAGCAGTGTCGTCACAAAGACTGTTGCGGTCCAGAGCTGCTCGGGGGAAAAAAATGAAGCAGAAGATGTAGTAGTGTGGGTACATGGGCCAGAACCTTAGAGGGATCGACCAGTGCTCGGCGATATGCAGTGCACCGTCGTTAAATATAGGTTGGTTGACAAGGCGGAGGATGAAAGCTTACTAAGGAAAGAGAGCTTTGTGATGCGGCGACGACTGGAGAGAGGCGGGATCTCTGGTTTCGCTCTTAAGGATGATATGCTGATATTGTGTGACTATGAAAATGAATGAACCAAGTAACGCGATTTTAAACAGCTTCGAGTGCGTTGATTAGATATGTTTAATGTGGGCTTCAGATGGCAGACGTGTATTCTAGCTTTGATCAGATAAGCGATTTGAATACGACGTGCAATTTTACGCGCTGTGGGGAGGGGTGGAGATGACACTTCAGGAAACCCGGAGATCTATTACAGGATGATATGTTGTTAGTAAAATGCTTGCGGCAGAATAAATTGTTGCACAAGGTAGGACCAAGGTAATTATATGATTCTACTAATTCCACGGGGGTATGAGATGGTATAGGGGAATGGAAGCGGGTTACGGCTGTGATGGAATCTCCTGAGTTTGCATTTACTGATGCTACGTGTCATGAGGCAATAATTTCACAAATCCTGAACATTGTTGATGTCATCTCGTAGGGCTTATTGGTCTGAAACGTTAGTAACAGAAAGGTAAAATACGCAATCGTCGGCAAAAGCCAGGATATGAAAGAAGGCATGAGGCGGTAAATAGTTGATGCATATGAGGAACAGAAGGAGACGAAGGACCGATTCTTGGGGACGCCGGATGACACTGGAAGGGAATTTGATAACTGGTTATCAGCAAGGTTTTCCATTTAGCTTGGCAACACAAAACAATGTTTTCCCCTTTTTTTTGGTAATCGGTTGAGAAATTTGGTAAACCACAGGTGGCACGAATAAAATTAGATTTAAATTATTTACAAGTTCTGATATTTTGTCAGAATGGGTGCTCAGTTCATTTTCGATCGCCTGGTAATTTCTTTTGTCGTACAAGCGTATGCATTTTCTGGTAAGTCTGGAGCACTAAAGGGGAAAACTCGAAAGCAGCATGAATGACCTTATGCTCACTGATTTTCCGGAGGAAAGTAATGGACGAGAGACTGTCAGGATGATTGGTAAGTATTAGGTCTAAAATGTGTGCCGATCCTTTTGCAACGCGCATCGGTTCCAATACCAGCTGCGTGTGATTAAAGTTAAGGCAAGCCTTGAGGAATTTATTTGTCTCAGCGTTGATTTCTTCTGGGATGACGAATTAGTCCATTCACAACCTCGAAAGTTAGTCTGTAAAGCGAAGAATATGTGCTTTGGAGTGGTTTGCAGTAGTTTAAATTAAAGCCCGACCTACGAAAAGGTTTTCCGCTAGGAAGGAAAATCCTCTTCGCCACCTTTCTCATTTCTTCCTCTCTCACTGCCATCTTGATGGCGGGGGGACTCTTTTTGTTGCTGCATTTTGGGGCCGGATATGCCGGGAGCTTATCCCCGCTCATCCAGCCCCAAGATGCAGCAACAAAAGGAGTCCCCTTGCCGTCAAGATAGTAGTTGGAGCAAGGGAAATGGGAAGGGTGGCAAAAAGGATTTTCCTATGCCGAGGAAAATGATTTTGTAGATAGGCCTTTAAGACGTTATGGGGCCTAATTAGGACCACATATAATTTGTGTTTATGGAGATCATCTGTTTCATTCACGAGCTCGCATATTTTTTGCATCTTAGAAAGTAAGCTCAGATAAGCTTCGAGTTTAGTAAGAATATGAAATTTAGCGGAAATAAAATTCGGTGAACGCCGAATTTCTGATAATATTACACTTAAAAAAAAAATTACTCTCAAATGTACCAAAAGCGCAACCCCGAAAATACCGAACGCTATACATCAAATAGAGTGTTCGTCGATGTCAATCGAACGCATTTCCAGATACCGTTTCCAAGAAAAGAGCATAAATATGGCGCCAGGCGGCAAGCCGAACTAGCACCCTATTTCTATTGTAGACATATAAACGAAACTGCGCAGCTGCCGTTGCTTCTTTTGTATATTTATTTCTCTTTGTTTGAATCAACGGAAAGAGTGACTCTCCACGCATTTGGTAATATCCTCAAGCACTACTACACAGATATGAGGCACTTCTTGCTGCTCTTTTTGGTGACTTTAGGAGTGCGCTCTCAAAGTGCCCTGCCTCCAGCCTGCAGATCGCACTGGTTCGCCGAACGCATCGGAAAATATCCTGACGCCCTAGAGGTAATTATTTCCTTCCAGTGTGTGCTTATGAAAGCTATCAATTGTTTGCGTTATCGCTAGGGTTCCGTATTTTCTGGGTATACTTTATTTCACAGGTCCAGTGATTTTCGGTGTAAATTTTCGGTGTGGGACAAACTATCTGTGTTTATCGGTGCCTATGTTCGAGAAAATAAGAGCGGGCATCGGATTCCCAAACCTCCGGGAAACATACGCGCGTATTGTGGAATCCTAGGAAAACAAGATAATGGGTGTGGTTCCGAACAAACCAGCAGCCTCGCGGAAAGTTCGTTGGAGGTTATGTCAGGGATCAACACAAAATAGAGCTGCAATAAAAATGCTCTTCTTGTGAACCTTGTTGTGTTCGGGTCCGTCGGCGACGGACCCGAACTCAACGAGGTTTGCCGGCGTAAACCATCTGTATCTACAAGTGCCTGCATCCCCGATATAGGTCTATCTTACCGCCATAATTTTTGTTCTAAACAAGCTTATAGTAGAAGCAAATAAACATTATGACTAGCATAATTTACGTAACAAATATTATCGAAATAAAAAAGGGTCGTCCTTTTCATATTTTAGAATATTAAATTATAAAAAAAAGTACCACATGGTTAAAAAAATCTAACCATGCTGCACTTTTTCTGTCATCTCTGCACGTTGTTTAATGTAGATTTTTGATCCTGAGTACAAGGTTGGATACTACAAAACTGCAGTCCTCGTGCCGTCCTTTTCATATTTTATTAATATTTATTACGCAAACTATGCTGGTCATATTGTTGTTTGCTTGCACTATAAGCTTGTTTAGAACAAAAACTATGGCGGTAAGATACAACCTATATTGGGGATGCAGGCACTTGTAGCTACAGATGGTTTACGCCCGCAAGTGTGCGCATCGTTTAGGCGCGTATGTGTGCGTGTTCATGGGGAGAAGCGATGGTATGTTTGCGGCGCTTCCGGGGACGGAATGGAACGCCGTGCCGCTAGTCCACTGGAAGAGCGTTGGCCACACACACACCGAACCGTTCAAAGACATATACACGGACACACGCTTCAGCATCTGTTTCTCCCCCACTGTGGTTCCTCTCCCGGACCCCCGAAAGCGCTTCCAATCAACATGCTGCTAAAAAAAAAAAAAAAGTGTAAGGGCCGGCTTGGCTTGCTTTCTAGACTTGAATGCAAAGCCCGTACCCGGCCCGAGCCCTTCATGAATGTAGACGTGAAGCGCGAGCCCGGCCCGCCGGCAGGGCCGGCCCGTTGCTTGCGGGCTAGCCCGTACCAGTGTAGAACTCTGCCTGCGACGCTGATGGTTCACCGCTCTGCGGACTTTTGCTCGCTACTTAAGAAATGTAATGGATTACAATTACAAATTACCGAGCCTCGAATGTAATGAATTATCGTTAGAAATTACTTCGATGGAAACTAACGGATTATTTTACTTGTTACGTTACAAATTACTTTCACGTTACTTTTTCCGTACAGTTATCCAGAAGATAGTAGACACAATTCTGATATTTTTCGAAAATCTCTTGCAACCACTACTTTTCATTTCTCATACGCCCGTATTATGGTCGTCCTTGTAAAAATAAAATATTGTATTTAAGAGACAGTGTAGGTGCACTTCGTTCACCTGGAAGCTGACCAAGACCTGAAAGCTGCAACCACACCCGCCATCCGAAGCAGCACAGAGTTGGCCAGTCATCGGCCAATGGCTGGTAATGGCCCTTGGCCAAGTCGACAGACAGTGGCCAGAGACTGGCCGCTGACTGGCCTTCATCTGGCCATTGGCCAATGGCCACTGGCCATCAGCCATCGGCCAAGCATTGGCCAATGAATGGCCACTGGCCAAAGGACCATCGCCAGACATTGGCCATTGCTTGGCCAAAATCCGTGCTGCTTGGGATCCCACTAGCTTACGAAAATCCGGAAATAATCCCTGGAATTGTGCAGACAAAGCTAGCGGTGCGCATGCTCAGTAACAGCGTCTACTTTCACTACCAGATTCGGAGCTAAGGAAGCGATATTCGGAAGCTCCCTGTTATTCACAAGAAAAGATAAACTTGGTTCTAAGGTTACAATGTATAGTCAATGCAGAATGCAGGTGTCCCAGCTTACCTTGATGTGTTTCCGTAAATGAGAGTTTGTTCTTCTTGCTGATGACAATATGTATTTTTGGCAAGCAAACTTTGCACTGAAACTCTAGGTTCCCATTCTTCTAAATGCCCTGAATTTTGAACATCTCGTTAAGAGATGGCCATGGAGACGACGAACACTCCATGTCCGAAAACTCGACCAGTCAAAGAAATAGTGGCGGTTGCGGGTTATCGATCGCTCATCGGTTCTCACTTTATTACCAATATTCGTGGAGGCCAGGGGGAGGGGGGAGGGGAGGGGGGAGGCGTGGGAGCGAGAGAAGCAGTGGCCATCGGTTTCACAAAACAATAGCGGATCATACCACGTTTACGTGATCTCTCTCTCTGTCGGCAATCCTAAGGGCCTAACCTCCCCCCCCCCGCCTTTTATGTTGACAGTCGACTGTAAAGTGAGGAGTGGACTTGACCACCATGGCCAGACAAGTAGACCTAAAGAAATATCGTCTGCACCCTCGAAGACGATGCTCTTAGCCTCGCGCCGTGCGCTTTTCAGCCGTGCCTCAAAAGCGTGCTAGAATATAGTAGCGCAAATCAAAGACGAAGAGAATTCGGCCCCCTCGCGCGAGGCTAGATCGTCTGCGAGTTGTGAACCCGCGAATCGAGAGGGTACGGACCCGCGTTTGATGTCGGCGCAGGCGGCGGGAGACGTCGAAGAAGTTGGAAAGAGTGAAACGTTGTAAAAGATAAAAAAAAGAAAAAACACGAAGAGCTTTCCCTTGCCCTGGAGAAGAAGAAAAACACTATGGAAGGCAACCGAGAGCTTACTAGGCGCTGTCTTACTCGATCTTTGTCTTTCGTATATTTGTACATGCCTTGCCCGTTTTTCTAGTGGTCTTAGCGACCGGTCATATAAAATATCGTGTTTTCTTTTCGGCTATTTCCCCCTTACTGATGTTTCCTATTTTGTTCAACTTGCTCTCTTTATGCAGCTGAATGTTCTGCTCGTATTGCTCCAGTTACTGTATTAGGCTCATTTTTTAAATTAACGAGCAATTAAAGTAATCCGTTAACAACATTCTGCAACGAAATTACATTACAAATTACTTCCGAAAAAAGTAACCTGGCAATTAAAACAATACTTGAAAAAGGAACGGATTACAAGTAATCTGTTACTTGTAACGCATTACTTCCCAAGTCTGGCACTCTGTGATGACTAGAAGGACATCACCACCTCGCGGCGAGCGAAGGAGTTAGCGCCATTACGGCTCGTACTGCTGAGGAGCGAAACAAATGGGACGCGGTCGGAGAAGCCTTCGCGAGCGCGCTTCGGGATCTCGAAGGCCGTGATCGCGCACGTGTGTTGCGCGTCTCGGTCACTGGGGAACAGGACCGCGGGCGCAGGCATGCGCTCCCATAATAAACTGAAACCTAACAACCCGTCCGAATTGAGCGTTTTTACGGAATGCCTAAAACGCTGCCCCTACGTGATACCTTTCTAGAAAGAGTTAATTTAGTGGTTTTCAATGACACTCAGCAAGTTTCTAATTGATACCAGATGTGTATTTTCACAAATTAAAAGGTTAATTAACAAATATTAGTTAATTAGCCGATTGATCGTTACGATTGGGCCCCTATACTATGAACCTCTGGCCGTGAAGCTCACCCACATAAACCGTATAAGTGTAGCTTTCACGACTTTTTTTCAAAAATTCTGTTATAATGAAATATATCTATATATCTATATATATATATATTCAAGGGCAGCTCGAATTTATAGTTATTACGTGTTCGCCGCTTTTTATGAAAGCGGCTCGGAGGTTCTTTTTGGGGAGTTATCGATATTTGCCGAAAACACGGAACCCCGTTCATAAGTAACTTGACTAAAAAGGTGAAGCTTTTTGTCTTTGCTAGAGAAATTAAACTTTGCTAAAGTTGCAATATTGGGGGGGGGGGGGGGGGGGGGAGGGAGGGGGGAGGGCTGCTGCTTACATTTTTTTGTATTCCGCATCCATGCAGTTAGAATATTTTTTTGCGTTTTCCTTTGTTTATCTTATCAAAGAGCCCAATTCTTAATCGGCATGATGTCTTTGACAAAATAAACTGACGGATCATTAAATGTTTCAAAAATCGCCGGCCAAATATCTGTCCTGCGTGTCTCACAGACTATGGGTATTAACTTAAGAGACCCACGGCGTGGCTGATTATGTCTTAGCTTCTTCGTGATCTTTTCTTTGGCGTTTTTATTAGCTGATACTCCAAAGTCTTCGGCTGAGGATAGAAAATAAGATGTTAAGGAACTGTCACGTCCTGCCTTTCTTAAGACGTCAGCGACTATAAAAACAAGTTTATACGTTCACTTTCCTGCAGAACATGAAGGCGGCCAACCGTGGAGAGGAATGCATCCCGACAAATGACAATGCTCAGAATAAGATTGAACTAAAAATAGAAAGGAAACGTCGCTGGGACAATTGAGCAAATGAAACGCCACGCTCATTGTCCCAGTGCACGGCGCATTTTTTTTTTTTTTGTCTAAACGCAATCTTAGTTTCGTCCTTTGCGGACATATTTCTAGCATTTTTCCTGATTGGTTGTCTTTGTGACTTGGAGGAATGTAAATTCACCAGCTTTTCTAGAATGTACGCACCGCACGGAAAATTAAATTTAACGTTTCGTCACTGCTGATGGGTCCAGTTGCGAGGTATGTAGTGCTAAGGACGATTAGATGGGCACGTTTTGAATAATAAAGCTAGTAACCATAAAAATATGTTGTCAATTATAGTCACCGACAGCTTAAAAAATGCAGGGTATTATGTTCACGCTTCTTTTTTCGTAATTCGCTCTTCCGCTTTTCTTTTGAGGATTCCGGCAATCTCAGTGGCTGCGGTGCGATAATAAACTGCTCGGGGACTCGCCATGCTCTGCATCTTTTGAAGTTGTCAGAGACTACACTTTGAAACATCTACGAGTTGACTTTCCTGGAGAACACGGAGACAGCCAATTATGGCGCGAAATAGAAGGAAGCCGGCAAACAAAATAAAATAGAAAAAACGATTAAAGCAAAAACATGCGATGTGTGCTGGGCCAGCGAGCATGGCGTTTGATTTGCGCATTGACACTGTGCACATTGTGATTTTTTTTATCAGATCTAATTGTCTTCTAAGCTTCGTCATTAGCTGGGCCATCTTGTACTCTTCCCCTTGATTGGTCTCTCCGCATTCTGCAAAAAAAGTGAACACATAAAGTTCTTTATGTTGGTTAGGCTACACTCAAAACAATGCCTGCATGTCAATGTTCCCACACATCACATATTGACAAAACACGCACACACACAAAAAAAAACTGGACTTGAATTACTACATTTTGCGTTTGAAGGACAAAAAAACACTACACGAATTGCACTTTCAAACCCGAGTTATCTTGTCCTTCCGATTTGCAGCATGCACTTCTTAGATCACAAGAATACGTTTACCAAATGCTCAGCGGGAGGGTGGTCGCGCTTGCATCTTTACTTGCCGTACTCGAGGAAACAAATAAACATCCTAACGACTTTTCTAGGTCCTCGCGCACAAACCCCCAAAGTTTTCCTTGGTATATCAATCTCAACGGCCGCAAACTGGCTCAGAGACTAAATGTTTACATACAACAGATATTCAGCTTAACAGGAGTTCCTGGTTAGCTACAGTGACTTACAAGTATTATGAGTGCGAAGAGAAGGAAGTAACAAGGTAAGTACAACTATTTATCAATTATAGTAGCTTATATATTAATATCATAATAATTGTTTGCACCATTTTGAAATGGTTTTTTTTAACAATAAGTATAATATTTTCAAACCAACAAATGTGTTCGTCGAAAGTTTTAAAAATAAAGAGAAAATGCTTAGAATAATCATGTCGTCAGCACACATAACATAGTGTACTGAGAACATACCATCACGAAACTTTGCATTTTAGCATTTTACTCGCATTCCTGACTAATTTCCTTTTAAGCCGTTTATCACCAAATTAACCAAAAAAATTGTTAGTCACTTCATCCTTCGCAGTGAAAGCGGTTCATAAATATGCATAGACCAGGATGCCTGTCTCTTCAGTAGCGCCATGACTTTAAAGTTCTTGAATTGGTATTTTGTATTATATACGAAAACAACGCTTTGTGAAGAAAAAAAATATTTGTACTTAAGCTTTCGTGCAGTCTGTTGCTAAGTCGCCTGCACCCAGTTGGACACACATAAGAATCAAGTTTTAAAATCGTCAGATAAAAAACTAAAATACGAATAAATAACGCAGAAAGTTTACAGCAACGTTTAATAATTATATCGTCCTCGCAATAAATGTCCAGACAACAACCAAAAAACAATTTTATCTTGCGGAGAGTAAGCGCTATTAACGTTCAACCTCAATGACAGCATTTACAAGGCATCCAAGTGAAATTGAATTTTAAACAAGTATTTTGCGCATTAAATACGCAGTTTATGAACAAATATACGCCATTTTACATAGCTTGGTCTTATTTGGACTTGAGCATGCTACATTAAAACACGCGACCCTAAAGTGCCATTGCTTTTTAATTATTAACATTCATTTTGGCGAGTTATCGCGCCGTCGTCTTGCAGCTTCCTTTTGATGATTACGCAACCAAGGAGGTTGAAGGTTGTTGGACGAGAGGAGCGAGAAGTCTCCATGACATACATACGTTTTAGAAGGTTGTATGTTGTTAAGCGTGTGACATTTTACAATTTTGCAGTTCCTGTCGAGATCAGTCTAGGTAACTTTGAATTTTTAACATACCTTGATGGAGTTAAGGTATGTTAAGGTTACCTCTGTCAAGGTATTTTAACATACATTGACAGAAGCGCCTGCCATTTATTATTCAGTTTCACACGAAAAACTACCCTGTACATTACGGGCCCCTTTCCAAATGTTACAGAAAGTTTAAAACGGAAGCTGGTGGCTGTTGATGGCGAGTTTAAGGCAATTGAGATTGTGCAACACTTAAGCTCCTCGATCTTTGTGTCTCTGGACAAAACATTTCGCCTGCAGTCCTTAATTACTTCTTTATTTTATGCATTATATTGCCGCGCGCGCTCGCCAAGTAGGCAGCGCGCACGTGGCCTAATGGTTATCGCGCCTGCCTCCCACGCGAAAAGCTAGGGTTCGAATCCTGGAGCGACATGTCTTTTGTTTATTCCTCTAATTTAGTGTTCTGGAGAATTCGAGAATCATGTTGCTTGTTCCAGGCCCGAATGTTCCACGCGTCGAAGTTTCTTCGCCGATTATTCCAGAAGACCACGCATGTACATAAGGGGCTCCGCGTGGCGAGCCGCAGTCAGTCTCGCCCCAGCGCTCGATTCTGCTGACACGCCGACTTCGACGCCCGCGACCCCGCACCTCCACCAGAATGTCACGGGTGGTGAGTCGTGACCAATAAACAAGAAATAAACAGAAATAAATAAACGTTTAATGTGGCGAACTTGTGCCAAAAATAAAGAAGGAAACAGAAGAAAGCAGAGCGTCGCGGGCGTCGAAGTCGGCGTGTCAGCAGAATCGAGCGCTGGGGCGAGGCGGCTCGCCACGCGGAGCCCCTTATGTACATGCGTGGTCTTCTGGAATAATCGGCGAAGAAACTTCGACGCGTGGAACATTCGGGCCTGGAACAAGCAACATGATTCTCGAATTCTCCAGAACACTAAATTAGAGGAATAAACAAAAGACATGTCGCTCCAGGATTCGAACCCTAGCTTTTCGCGTGGGAGGCAGGCGCGATAACCATTAGGCCACGTGCGCGCTGCCTACTTGGCGTGCGCGCGCGGCAATATCATCTCCTAGGTATTCATAGGCCCAATTACACCATCTCACAGATATTCACTTCCCTTCATGCGTTTCAAGCAAAGCGGTAGTCTACGATGTCAGATAGTAATCAATTATAATATTGGTATTTTGTAGTAACAGGTGGGACTTCAAAATGGAGTTTTGGTTAGGAGGTGCTCTTACTCGTACACCTTGACATCAGCCTGAACTAGGTCTGGGTGTCGATAAAAATGTTCAACCCATAAAACAATCCATTAATCGATTATTGGCTTCGCTCCTTTCCATGTCTAATTGTTTTAAACATATCATAATTCTATATATACAATTTTTTTGTGCATTGCTTCTTAAATTGGGGTCCGCGAAGGCATTCTAGGGGTCTGCGAAAACCTGTCGCATCAGTCCAACCTGCCAATAATTTTTTTTTTAATTGAGAAGTTTTCTCGTGTGTATGTCAATAAGAGAAGTATACTTCACACAGTCACTTAGTTATATTGATTTATAAAATCATTATGATACTTAACATTTACCCTTTCCTTCCCCTCACCATGAACGGTGTCCTCCATCCTCTCCACCGATACACAAGGGGTCCGCGAAACATTATTGGTTGAGAACCACTGCTTTATTCAATAACTGAAAAACAGCGCAATGTACCATTTTGAATTTTAAATCAACAATAATCTGTAGTTTAGAACATTAAAAAGACACCCACACTCAAAAATTACCACTTCAGCCGCGGAGGCAAAGAGCTTCGTTGAAAATCTCCGGCGATAACGAACTCCTTTGATTGTTCACAATAGTCTCCGCTGCACTTAACGGAAATTCGCACGGCGTTGAACTTGCCGGGACACGTAATACCTTGTCCACTTGTTTGGAGTTACATATCGCGCCACTGCAGTTTACTTCAGGTCAAACTTTTACCTAAAGTTTGCCCTCAAACAGGTGTCCTCGCCCACGTCTACGTGGGTGAAGTGTTTAATTTGTACATTTATTTCTTTTAAAAATTTAACCAATTAACTGTTTCAAGGGCTTAATCCGATTGAAGCATTAATTGATGAATCGGTAGGTTAATCGATCAACTGCTCACTCCTATCTTCCACTGATGTATGCAGTTTGTGATACTGTATAGTGCTTGAATGTTGTGCCAACTATACTCGAAATCTGACGACAAAGCACAATTTGAGAAAACATCAACTCGCGTTATTCACTGATTTTAAAAAGCTGGTATGCATTCTCATTTATATTATTTTGTTTCGATATTTTAAGCACAGTTTTTTGGAGAAGGGATTGTAATAGGTTACCTTAAGTTCCAATATTTTCTTGAAGCAGTGTCACCAAGTAACTTCTAAACTGCGATGGGGATCAAAGGCAAATAAAAGTACTTCGATGTCATTTTCTTTCCTTCAGGATAACCGGGCATGTTGTCGCCTCCACACTTCATGACGGAAAGGATTCCATCTCGGATGACACTATTAGATTTTATTCCGGTAAATGGGTTAAGAAGATGCTTGAATGTCTCGCATTGCCTTAAACAAGTTCCCTATAGGGAGCCCGTGCTGTCGTTTTTTTTTTTTTAATTATTTTATACCTAAAAGTTTTATCTAGCAAAAAAACAGTTTTAACATTGCATGATGTTTTTGCAGAAAGGAATATGAAAGCGTGTGTGCTATAATATTGTTCTAGGAAGGTTCCAAAAATTAATATGAAATATTTTATTTCGTTCCATAACCGGCAAATTCAACCAATTCTACGAAATAATTTGAGATAGATTCAAACTTAGACTTCAGTAACTACTATTGAGAGCGTCAATTAAGTATACATTTCCTTAAGCAAAACATTTAGGAGTATATGAGTGTCGATTTTGTAAAAATGATGGAGCATTTTCGAAAAAAATATATATTAGCTATAGGGTTTGCGGGTAACACTCCCTCTTAAACAAATATAGTAAATACGGTGCCGTCTGTTACGTTTTAAAGCAAGAGGCGTCGACATCTTGCTTCGATGCCAGATTTCTGGCTTATTAACGTCGAAGACTATCCATTGGAATAACTCAAGTGCTACCACTCAAAAGCTGTTCGCTTCCAAACACTGGGTGCGTGGCGTGGGCTTATTCTTCCGGTTGTTTCGACGCAACGACCGGCTGGTATTTAGTGATTTTACATATGCCGACCACGTATGACTTTTGCTATCAGATAAACTTTTATTTACGGAAGTAATACCCATACTGGCTTGTTCTCAAACGCTAAGCGGCCGCTCACCAAACAAAACAGCGGCTAAAATTCACGGTATTGAACTACCCAGATGGTGGTAAAAAGGTATAAATCACCGTTTGAAACTTCAAACCCCTATTTTATCACAGATTTTCCCGCCGTTAGTTATATTCATATGTAATTTTATTCGCCCCGAAAACATAATAAAAACGCGGAAAACTCTAATATGATAGCCACTATACTCGCGGTCAACTTTCTGTGGCAATCGGATGCGAGGAGGAAAGCGCGTGTACGGCGGTTGATGGACCCTCTCCCCTAGCATTGACCGCATCGCCACAGAAAGCTGACCGCGAGTATAGTTTATTTCTAATAATTAAACATGTATACTATATTTTATTAAATGACGGTGGCATCTGTTGTTGTTTTTCTTATATAATTCTAGCAAAGGACCCAAGCACTGAACTATCCTCAACGCGCTCCCAAGTTATATACAACGATCGTTACTGTATCCTTATGTACTCAAAGATGTTGGGTAAGCAATCTTTATATTTTGACCGTCGTAACGCGAATCGCAGCTGCAACATCGATACCTTTTCCTACGGCCCTTATCCACCCAACACAAATAACGGTTATCATTCTTCAGGTGTCCGTCGCTTTCGTGGTCGCACGTGCGCACCGCTGTTCCGCCGCAACCGCACACTGTCGCCTTACCCAATACGCCACCGTTCCGTATCACCTTTCAATGCCGCTGTCCCTGGGCCTTCCCAACAGTCACATTAAATACAGCGGCCTACAGCTACAATGGAGACCACACTGTACGATCATCACTTGAAGAAAATGTTCCCTACTTGAAACAAAATGCGATCATATTTGAAAACAGAAACCAATGCTTTACCACTTTAGTATACACAGGAGCCGCCAAGTCTTGCATTCGCGATCGCGTACATCGCCGTTTGCACGTAGTACTAACTCCGCCCTTAGAAGGATACTTGATGCGATTGGGTCAAGGTGATTTTGTGTCGCCACTTGGATATTCGGCACTTTTGATCCGCATCGATGGAAATAGCTACATCGTAATGTCTATGGTCCTTCCCACTTGCATCGCCGATATTATATCAGGGTGAGATTTTCTGTCCTCAGCAGAATCATTTATTGACTTTGTCAGCAACGAATTATTTATTCACCGTCAGTGCTCAGAACTTGCTCCCATTTATCGGTTGCAAAAAAATATTTTTACGAGGTTGAATGTACTTTTATGCACGTTCAACGTGCATTTTGTCCAACTATAATCGTTATTCATGGCACACGCTAAATGGAATCAGCTCTGAGTAAGTGCTGCAAACAACGACCCCAAAAAAGTTCGTCCAATTAATACCCCTATAATCGGAAAATCCAGTCGATCATGACTCATGACTACCGCCCTGAACAATGTGAAAGCATAAATTCGTGAATTATTATTAAATTTCTTAGTTTCCGTTAAATACAAAAAGACGTTATGTTCTGGAGACATCTTATCTCATCAAAACCGCACAATTGGCATGAATTTTTATCTGTCTGCCCCGCACATCTGATGCTTGAGGTGAGAACTCCAAGAGTCATATTTAGCCGGCCCGGAGGTCCATTTAACTAGTGTCCCTTGATCTTCCAAACTGTTATATGTCCAGAACTTGGCAGTTATCAATTGCCAAAGATCCTTCACCATCCAATGCTTCCACAAAAGAAAAGTCGCAAGAGCTTAAATTGTATATGCTGGATTGTTACGTCTCTTTGACGTTTTTGTATGTTTTCAGTTCATACCTTTAGTAAAACCTTCGTCACCGAAATTGATTAAACCACCTTTATACCATAACGTGTGTCAGAGTTTTGAGCCTGACTTAACCGTTCGTCGTGGTTAGCGTTATGAAAGTTATATGATAGCTTATGAAATATCATATTTCTCGGCAAAACGCCAAATTTTAAAAGAAATGCCATATGAGCTCAAGGGTGACTTAAGAGTTTGCCTTTATTACTTACAGGTTTTCAAGTCTGGGTTCCAACAAGTTATCTGGAAGATCACAATGAAGTTCCATACATCTGCACACTGTTATACGAAATTTGCTGGGGAAAAACAAAATACTTTGTGTACGATTTTCAAAAATGCCCAAAGTATCTAATCGAAAGTGAGCAATGATCTAGAAAATAGATCAAAACTATATTATGAATGTTCTTTGTCTTCGCAAAACTACTGAAGTTTCTAAACACGCCTCACACTTGCTTCCATGTGTAAGGCCACAAATAAAATAGCCGCATGTTGTTTACATTTTCACCTTTTTTATTAACCAATAAGGGAAATAATAGTGCTATCTTGTTCTTAAGTCATCGGGTAGCTGCAAATCCCGCACAGGTATTTTCTTGTTTTATACTCATTCTGAAAACAACCTTAATCAAACTAATGCAAAACAAATAAACGTACCTACAGAGTCAGCTACCTTGTCCTAACCTACTCACACCGTATGGTGAGACAAATATGTTATGTATCTAAGGCAATGAAGGGATCTTAGTCGTTACGAATAAACCGAAACTCATGGAAAAAAGTATTTACTATGAGAGTAATTCCGGCATCGGCAGACGGCAGCGTTCGGCTGGCTCGCTGGCTCGTGTCGGTCAGCTCGAGCTCGCTTCTTCCTCGTCGTTCCGTGTGTCTGCTCCTGGACACAACAACATATATCACCCACGCACGCATAATTCTCGTATATGGTCCCTTAGGTTGCACGTCCTCGGGAGGGCCGAAGTACTGAACACACCGCGACATAACACTGACCTGACTTACTTCAGCGTAACATTCTGAAGAACTATTAAGATTTGTATAAAACTGCTGAGGTGTAAATAAAATCTGTAATATATGTCTACTATACGCTACAATTGCTCTATTTCTCCACGCATTTCCTGTAATATTAATCTAACTTACATCATTTTACCTTTAATACTGCACGGTTTTAGGTTAGCATGTAGGCTGATATACTTGAATTTTCATCGTGCTACTCCGTACGTCACGTGCCATTCTGAACACGTGAAATAATTATTTTTACTTCTCATCAAGATTTTTAGTGCAACCTAATAAATGATAGCTCAGAAAACGCGGACTTCGAAGGAGAACAAACACGACAGGACAATGCTGTCCTGTCGGGTACGACATTGTCCTGCCATGTTTGTTTTTCTTTGTAGTCCGCATTTTTTAGCTGTTTTTCCCATCCTGTGTAACGTCAACCAACTGGCCCAGTTCGCCACCTTATTATTCCTTGATATGTTTCTGACAAGCGTATGCCAATATGACGACCCCATGTAACACGGCCGCAGAGGAAGAAGAAACACCAAAATGGCTCGAGCACTCCCTCCCATGTGGTCAGAGGGCAGCCGTATCACGCTCCACAAGGACAGTCCTTAAAATGAACGTGTAAGACATGTAAATAAATAGTCAGGATATAACACGACGCACGACTCCTTAAAAGTGATGACCAGGATGAGGAACATCGCAAACAAACGCACCGAGGTGGCAACAATCACTATCCCACCACTATCAACCTCGGGTTGCAACGCATCTTTCGTTGGATGTCAGACAATATAATAAAACCGGAGACACGGAAACAAAAACGAACAGGATGTATACAAAACAGTCATAGACACAGCTAAATGTTTTATTCACAAGAGCCTCCCTACATAGCCGACGACCCCCTGTCACCACGAAAGACACGTGGTCACTAAATGTATTATCTGTTTTCCGCAGGGGAAAAGGTAAGGACCATAAGGACCATAAAGCACACATCCCATTGATGTCTGTGGTTTATGAGAATAAAACGTGGCAGCGTGCCCTGTCGTATTTTCTTCAGAACTGCATAAGTGTGCTCAATAATGATAACCCACTGGCGCTTAGGAGCTCTGAGGAATTGATAAAGAGCTTGGGCTACCACAATTCGAGGCACTATGAGTTGGCGTCCCCCGGTAGAGATAAACGATTTGTATTATTATTTACACAGGTCGATGCTAATGCGTAGGGTACCAGATTTGTTAGAGGACAACTTAGTACGGTTCCAGTCGTGTAGGGCCATTGATAAAGGCAGTTGGCTTCCATTGTTTGTGCCTGGATCTCAGGCAAACGGAGGTAGAAGTTAATGGGTGCATGATTACTCAAAAACAAGGTGCTTGCATCGGGTCGTCGTTGGCTCAAGTTTTGTCAGAGATTTATCATACCGCTCTGGATTGAAAAGTTCTTGCGACACTGTAGTCAATGTCGCCTGGTTGCGCGATCATACGAAGGTATGTTGATAACCTTATCATTTGTGTATTCGAGGGGCTAAATGCCAATGAGTGGGTGGCTTTTGTAAAAGGCCAAGCTCTAGAACTTTATTTTACTTATGAGAAGCTGTGAGTGGCCTCTTCCCTTTTTGTACTTGAAAGTTTTTTTTTTTCAGGGTATGCGTCTGCTATGAGAAAGATGGACCAAAACCTGTCTTACCGTCCCGAAGTTGTCAACTGAAAACAGTCAATATTAATAATAATGTTTTATTTGATTCGTGCCCCAAAACAACCAATACGTTAAAATCTGGTGGCACATAAAACATAATACAAAAGAAAAATCCATAAAGATGTCCGCCACTGTTACAAAACACGGTGTGGGTCAATAGCAGAAAAGGTATAAATCAAGCTCTCGTCTAAAAACTAAAAAAATCTAAAAAAACATTACCATGAGGCGGCTATTCATTACCACAAATTTCCATTCGCACCAATGGTGACAATGGCTTTTGCACAGAGGGATAAAATACACTCGTTCCTCTCATAGCACGAGCTGCCACATGAAATCCCAGCGACGTCACGAATTCACTATATATATGGCCGTGAACAACTTTCTGTAAAAATAAAACATTACGAGCAGTCCGTCTTTAAAAATTTGCCCAAGGAAAGTTCTCTAAGACTGTACTCATAGTCCTAATATCATCTCCTCCCAAAATACCTACATGAAAAATTCAAACAGATCGTTTTTAAATCCTTTCAATTCGCTCTGCGTCAGCTGCAGTCAGCGAATTCCATACAGCACTGCAAAACTCAAGTCTAACTCGCACCAAGGAGCAAAACAAGCGGACGACGGATAAAGAATTTGAAAAATTATGCGTCACGCGTGACATCATTCCCATCACTCAAAAAAGCTAAAGCAACTATCTGGCTAACATGACTAGAAAAGGAAAGACTGCTATCAAAATAAACGCCAAGGTCACGTACTTGTTCAACATGTCGATTGGTACAATTGCTAAGTATGTACAGATAAGAAATGTTTTTTGCGTTTTCTACATACAGTGACTACATTGGTTTTAACTGGGTTAACAAGTAAAAAGTTATCAGACCCCTATTCAGAAATGCGTAATATGTCATCCCGCAAAAGAGCACAGTCATCTTCTGATTGAATTTTCATAAAAAGTTTGATGTCATCAGCATTTAAAGGCATCTGCGCATTCTTTACGCACAAGTTGATGTCATTGATATATATAATTTTAAAAAAGTGGCCCCAGGTTTGATCCTTGGGGGACACTGGAAGAGGATACAAGAACTTTTGATAGACTGCTCAATGCACGGACACTATTTTGACGATCAGTAAGATAACTATTAAAAGAAGTGTGATGACGCCCCTTCTTCCGAATGCCCTGGATAAGTCCTTCAGGCATTTCTCAAGTAATGCGATTTTGTTATAATTCAATTAAATGCAAAGGTGCAAGCGAGCTGGACAAGAATGACGAAAATAATCCCTGGAGAAGGGGAACAAGAGGAGCAAAGGATAAACATGAATCTCCAAACGTGTGTTTGGAGATTTGTGTTTGTCCTTTGTCCCTCTTGTTCCCCTTCTCCAGGGATTATTTTCGTCGCGATTTTGTATCAGGTTTCTCGGTTAGTTCGTTCGGGTTATCCCACGGAAGTTCTGGTGAGTGTAGCAAAGAAACTCTTGGTTAGCTTGGGCTTGAGGGAAGAAAGGAAGAAGGCATACCATTCGGAATACCTAACGTTTTTTGTTTTTTTTCATGCGGCTTCTTAACATTTAAAGTGCCTGGCGGCGGCGTATGTCGTCACAGTAGTTTTCAGAATTAACTTTCTGCTCAGCCGTCTGGCTCTTTTCTCGGGAGTATCTGAGGTGTGTGACAAAACGCAGATGGTATGTGGATCCCCAAAAAGCTGTCTGTCGGTTATGACATTCCCTTGGCTTGCGGCTCGTGCGTTGGGCAGACTGGCCGTTGTGTCAACGAGAGAATATTAGAACACAAATGGGCAGTGTTGTCAAAGGCTGCTACCTCTGAAATAGGGAAACATCTGTAAGAATGCAACAATTGTTTTCCTGAGTGAACCTCAACAGTGATTGTTAGCAAAGAGTTGAACTTGTTCAAACGCGTAGTTAAAGAAACAATTAGAATCACATCCTCAGAAAATTATGTCAGTGTTCCTTCCGTGGTGCTAGAAAAACGAGTGCAAACTTTTTTGCAACCGTAATTCTTTTTTTTATTAATTTGACGCGTTCTTTTTTTTAGATTTTGACCTATAGGTTGAAAGTGGACGTGTAGGTTTGGTTTGGTTGGGCTTTGGTTACCAGAATTCGTCATCGTGTAGCTTGAGAACTTGCACTATTGTTGGAGAATCTTGTTTTCTTTGTCTGTGTCTGCGGATACATGTTCCGCAGAGGGTGTCTAAGTATAAAGGCACATGTCCCTGGCAAGGCCTTAACCTCCCCTTGGTATGCATCGAGCATCAACATACATATAAAATACACCATATACATATAATACATCATACATATCAAGTACATATACGTTAAATTCATATAAGTTCAACAGCAAAATATAATACTGCCAAATATACAGTTTTATAGCCCAGACATACTAAAACAGATAAGTATTAGATACATATACGCGGTATGATCCAATAGTCTAGACCAGTAGTTCTCAAATGGGGGTCCACGGATCCTTTGGGGTCCGCGAAGGCATTCTAGGGGTCCGTAAAGCACAACCTCATCAGCCAATCCCGGCAATAAAAGTGGTCTTTTCTCAGCTTGAGAAGAAACGTTCCAGTTTTCGGGTGAGTTTTCAAGTGTATACGTCAAAAGAGAAGTCTACTTCACATTAGCCCTTGGTTATATCCATTAATTTAACCAATATC